CTGTTGATTGGTCGGCGTGTCACACTTGACTAGACATGTGAGCTCAGAGTTTGTTGTCTGTTGGACTAGAGCTCAGGACCTATTGACTTAAGCTTAGAGCTAAGAATCCATTGGTTTATACCTAGACAACCAGCTTCTAATCCACTGTTTTATGTTCAGATACAGATCCCAGATCCCATTGTCTTTGACCATACAATACAACTCGGGGCTCCCATATGAAACAGATAATGCTACAATAACAAAATACTACTTTTGTCTTTATGTTAACTAGACATAATATACTTAGAGTCTTTACGCTATTTAAATAAGCCGAGAGAGGGTCGCAGTCGTTTCGATTGCAATCCACATGATGGTGTTTGAAGGGCGTTAGGTTTGGGTCAAGTTTCAGTTAAATTTGGGTAGACATTAGGTTAAGTTTAGGATATAGACTATAGTTCAGGTTAATTTTAGAGTATATTTTTGTCTAAGTTTGTGTTAGGTTTGCGTAATGTGAAACAATGATGTCATAGTGTGTAATCTAGAGAGTAATCCCATCATCCAAGATGGGTGCAGGTGTATCCTGAAGTCGTGATGCCCGTAAGAAATTGTGTTACATTCACATCACATTTTGATCGTCTAAGCAGATCAAACAATTGCTGTAGAGCGCGCATCTTCCTACAACAAAACCTACACAGCAAGTTTGGTTATCTTATGGATTACTCTATGTACGTCTCTCTCTCCTCATCACCCCCCCCCCCCCCCCCCCGGATCCCGTCTGATCAACGTCTCATTAAACCCGCTTTACAGACGTACACATTTTTGGTTTTACAATAACCGAGTCGGACCTTTACTATCAATAGACTAATTAAGCACACAACACGATGGTCCGTGGTTCGAGACCCTCCCACACCAAGCTAATTGATCACACCATTGTGGACTGTGGTCCTATCATCTTTGGGGCGATGCAGACTTAATTAATTAATCAGTCCCTCCTGCCGCCGACTATAGCATCTAATTACAGCTAATTAAACCCTGACCTCTGCACCTGTGGTCCATCGGTCAGCGCCAGGTCTGGCGGGCCAGCGGGTGATGGATGATGGACAGGTCACGTGATGGTGTCTGGTCATGCTGGTACCCCATTTGTGCTGAGTCGAACATTTCAGCACCATCTGGGCTTATGAACAGACCCGGACGTATATATTCGTGCTGGTATCTTGTTTGTGCTGAGTTCAGCTCTAACACTCTTAAATATTTTCCGTTGCTCTAGTTTTATACACACTCTCCCAATTCCTTATTGCTGACTTTCATTAGGATACATTCGCAGGGAAATGTGATGGTTTAATGAATTTTTCATTTCGTTACTCATGAAATTGTTTTATTAACACCAGCCAAACACGAAGTATTTGCGCGAAACTTTGTGATGAAAAACTGAAGATACATTACTTTTATTAATGGTGTGGTTACTAATTATATTATTCAATAGTTACGGTCGAAATATATTAATGTAATAGTGTGTATATGTTGGAATTTACAATAATTCAATGGTATTCATTTTATTATAGAGGTATTTATTGTAATGTAATATATGTACTATTGTGATCTGTTTATTTAAGTCGAATTTTTTGCTAAGACGTTCTCTCAATTCGTGACGGGATCATTAATTAGGATAAAAATTAAGACATGATAACGTTTTATTTTTACTCAAACCAAACAAAGCAAAGATCATACAAGGGATGATGGGGGGGGGGGGGGGGGGGGGGAAAGAGGGGCGGGTTGGAAAAACTAACCGATAGGACCAGTAACTCTAAAGAAAACTGTTTGAAAAAGGTAACTTTTTGCATGCACGGTCAAGGCCGCTCTAGACAGGTGCCCCCACGGTGGATAAATGAGCAACAGCCTCGTTCTGATTGCTCACCTAGTCGGGGTCAACGACCAGGCTCACCTGTACACCACGGGGCTTTTCTTACCTCCACGTGCAGGTAAAAAAAAAGGTGGTTTAGGTTTTCTCCTCGTCTGGCCATTAACCAGGAGCTGAAGCGCTCACGTCCACACTGCACGTGCATACCTGACGCGCGACAGTAAATCTTTGAGTACCGAGAGACTCTGCGTCGAAGCTTTTAACCTAGGGTGTTGCAGACACGGCCATCTTCACACTGCGTGTCTAAAGCTATCGCGAGACAACTAACTATTCTCCAATCTTTAGTGCAGCAGCAGTACGGCTAAGTTTGGGTTTAGTACCTAAACAGTATAAACTTATTTACAGAATAGCGAAAATAACACTGACAAGTGCTGTACATTATGCTATAATGAGACCACGTTTAAATAGATGTGTAAGCCGCCTTTGATTACAGTGTAGATGTTGAAATGATCGAGGTAGTCGAGTAAAGGAGTACTTAACTACACATTCACAAGTCCTGAGTTCGGATTCATTTAAGTACTTAGGGTAGAGAACTGCTGAAGGCGTAAAAAAAATAATAGACAAATGTTTTACTGATCTTGTATGCAGATGATCACAGATTGTACACTTCTCGTACACGGATGCCCCAGATGACCCCTAATTGTACTTAGTTGGTCTCAAAGGGTCAAATTGTAGACAGTGTACACAGACGCCCACATCTTGTACACAATGTGATACCTGCCTTGAACAACTACTGCCTATACACAGTAGACCCCAGGAGTTGTTTAGTTTACATCACGTTTCACTCCCCAAAGCTGAGTTTTCAAATGGAAGGAAAATATCTTTTTTTTTTAATCCCACGCATGCGCATGACGACGTTTAAAGATGGAGTTTGTGAGTTCAAGGTGATTCAGATTTCGCCACAAAAATGTCAATCAATTCCTGCCCGGTTACTTCCCTTTGATCCTCATGTTCTATACAAGCACTCAGGTAAGAGAGTACACGAGCCTCATAATGAACGGCACACAATTCTTTCTTTAGTATGGGCGCCTTTAGCGTGCAAGAACGGTAATCAGGTAGTAGAGTTATCCTTCGTTTTTTTTTTTTGTAGACTGTAACAATAGCAGAAGAAAAAAAAACAGTAACCAAGGACAAAAATATTAGCAAGTTAAAAGTTATATAAATATACGTAATATATTTTAATTGGTTATCTAAATTAGCATTTCTTCTTATATGTGTTGTGCTTCAGCGGTCTATTAAAAACAACATCATACTTAGATACTTAGATACCTCTAGTTACTTAAGACAGTTTTCTCTTTCTGGAATTATATTTCATTAAGTTGAATCGCCTAAAATCTAAAACATAAGGGAATGAACCGATGGATACACACTTAGCTTTTCATTGCTTGTATTAGCCGGCAGGAAAGTTACACTAGAAGAAAAATGTCACTTCCGGTATAAGTGTTTTTACGTGTGGTCTTGGTGGAAGTTATAAAAATCACAAAACTTCCTGGATTTATTTCAGATACTTTTAAAATTTAGCATCGTTGGATGATATGTAGCTTTAGCTTACATGTAGCAGGACTGGCTGATGGACCGGCTGACATGTAGCAGGACCGGCTGACATGTAGCAGGACCGGCTGACATCTAGCAGGACCGGCTGACATCTAGCAGGACCGGCTGATGGACCGGCTGACATGTAGCAGGACCGGCTGACATGTAGCAGGACCGGCTGACATGTAGCAGGACTGGCTGACATGTAGCAGGACTGGCTGACATGTAGCAGGACCGGCTGATGGACCGGCTGACATGTAGCAGGACCGGCTGACATGTAGCAGGACCGGCTGATGGACCGGCTGACATGTAGCAGGATCGGCTGACATGTAGCAGGAACGGCTGACATGTTGCAGGACCGGCTGACTTCTAGCAGGACCGGCTGACATGTAGCAAGACCGGCTGACATGTAGCAGGACCGGCTGACATGTAGCAGGACTGGCTGATGGACCGGCTGACATGTAGCAGGACCGGCTGACATGTAGCAGGACCGGCTGATGGACCGGCTGACATGTAGCAGGACCGGCTGATGGACCGGCTGACATGTAGCAGGACCGGCTGACATGTAACAGGACCGGCTGACATGTAGCAGGACTGGCTGACATGTAGCAGGACCGGCTGACATGTAGCGGGACCGGCTGACATGTAGCAGGACCGGCTGACATGTAGCGGGACCGGCTGATGGACCGGCTGACATGTTGCAGGACTGGCTGATGGACCGGCTGACATGTAGCAGGACCGGCTGACATGTAGCAGGACCGGCTGACATGTAGCAGGACCGGCTGACATGTAGCAGGACCGGCTGACATGTAGCAGGACCGGCTGACATGTAGCAGGACCGGCTGATGGACCGGCTGACATGTAGCAGGACCGGCTGACATGTAGCAGGACCGGCTGACACGCTAGGGGTGAGTGTGTGTGTGTGTGTGGGGGGGGGGGGGGGGTAACATCTCAGGTAAGTTTATCTACACACATACCTCCACCCTTCCCTTCTCTCCACACTTTTTACATTAAAGGAACGAAAAGAGGTGATCGAAGAAGAAATATATGCTGACTAGGTCACTAGATGGAGACCAAAACAGCCTGTTAGTATAGATGGAGAAGAAAATGCCGGTTACTTAGAGAGTGGAAAACAACGCAGGATAGAAAGACCGTGAAAATGCCGGTTAGATAGAGAGATGTCTGTACACAAGATTTAGCCATTTAGCCACAGGCAAGATCCGGCTGAAGATCAAATTAAAGGGAAGCAACTATCCCGGGCTATAAAGGGGGAGAACTGGTTTTGTGCGGGCTTCAGGTCGGTGGGTGATTTAATGGGCGGCAACTGAAACAGTACTCGCATCAGGGGCGATTAACTCTGTAGTGACCGCAGGAACGTGGACGGTTACCCGCTTCATCAAACGGTAGATGGTCAGTGTGGTCAGTTGGGTCGGTGTGGTCGGTGTGGTCAGTGTGGTCAGTGTAGTCGGTGTGGTCGATGTGGTCAGTGTATTTTATGGCTGCTGGTGAGCAGGATGACCGGCTTAAGTGGGCGGGATGGGCGGCTAGGGCTAACAGCACACTCAACCCATCAAACATGGTTTATTGGTACTGTGGCACTGTGGCGTTGGGGTTGGCACTGTGACGCTGGGGTTGGTACTGTGGCGTTGGGGTTGACACTGTGGCGCTGGGGTTGGCACTGTGGCGCTGGGGTTGACACTGTGGCGCTGGGGTTGGCACTGGTTGGCACTGTGGCGCTGGGGTTGGCACTGTGGGGCTGGGGTTGGCACTGTGGCGCTGGGGTTGGCACTGTGGCACTGGGGTTGGCACTGTGGCGCTGTGGCGCTGGGGTTGGCACTGTGGCGCTGGGGTTGGCACTGTGGCGCTGGGGTTGGCACTGTGGCGCTGGGGTTGTCACTGTGACGCTGGGGTTGGCACTGTGATGCTGGGGTTGGCACTGTGACGCTGGGGTTGGCACTGTGGCGCTGGGGTTGTCACTGTGGCGCTGGGGTTGGCACTGGTTGGCACTGTGGCGCTGGGGTTGGTACTGTGGCGCTGGGGTTGGCACTGTGGCGCTGGGGTTGGCACTGTGGCGCTGGGGTTGTCACTGTGACGCTGGGGTTGGCACTGTGGCACTGGGGTTGGCACTGTGGCACTGGGGTTGTCACTGTGGCGCTGTGGTTGGCACTGTGGCACTGGGGTTGTCACTGTGGCACTGGGGTTGGCACTGTGGCACTGGGGTTGGCACTGTGGCGCTGGGGTTGGCACTGTGGCGCTGGGGTTGGTACTGTGGCGCTGGGGTTGGCACTGTGGCGCTGGGGTTGGCACTGTGGCGCTGGGGTTGGCACTGGTTGGCACTGTGGCGCTGGGGTTGGTACTGTGGCGCTGGGGTTGGCACTGTGGCGCTGGGGTTGGCACTGGTTGGCACTGTGGCGCTGGGGTTGGCACTGTGGCGCTGGGGTTGGCACTGGTTGGCACTGTGGCGCTGGGGTTGGTACTGTGGCGCTGGGGTTGGCACTGTGGCGCTGGGGTTGGCACTGGTTGGCACTGTGGCGCTGGGGTTGGCACTGTGGGGCTGGGGTTGGCACTGTGGCGCTGGGGTTGGCACTGTGGCACTGGGGTTGGCACTGTGGCGCTGTGGCGCTGGGGTTGGCACTGTGGCGCTGGGGTTGGCACTGTGGCGCTGGGGTTGGCACTGTGGCACTGGGGTTGGTACTGTGGCGCTGGGGTTGGCACTGTGGCGCTGGGGTTGGCACTGTGGCGCTGGGGTTGGTACTGTGGCGCTGGGGTTGGCACTGTGGCGCTGGGGTTGACACTGTGGCGCTGGGGTTGGCACTGTGGCGCTGGGGTTGGCACTGTGGCGCTGGGGTTGGCACTGTGGCGCTGGGGTTGGCACTGTGGCGCTGGGGTTGGTACTGTGGCGCTGTGGCGCTGGGGTTGGCACTGTGGCGCTGGGGTTGGCACTGTGGCGCTGGGGTTGGCACTGTGGCGCTGTGGCGCTGGGGTTGGCACTGTGGCGCTGGGGTTGGCACTGTGGCGCTGGGGTTGGTACTGTGGCGCTGTGGCGCTGGGGTTGGCACTGTGGCGCTGTGGCGCTGGGGTTGGCACTGTGGCGCTGGGGTTGGCACTGTGGCGCTGGGGTTGGTACTGTGGTGCTGTGGCGCTGGGGTTGGCACTGTGGCGCTGGGGTTGGCACTGTGGCGCTGGGGTTGGCACTGTGGCGCTGTGGCGCTGGGGTTGGCACTGTGGCGCTGGGGTTGGCACTGTGGCGCTGGGGTTGGCACTGTGGCGCTGGGGTTGTCACTGTGACGCTGGGGTTGGCACTGTGACGCTGGGGTTGGCACTGTGGCGCTGGGGTTGGCACTGTGGCGCTGGGGTTGGCACTGTGACGCTGGGGTTGGCACTGTGACGCTGGGGTTGGCACTGTGGCACTGGGGTTGTCACTGTGGCGCTGTGGCGCTGGGGTTGGCCCTGTGGCGCTGGGGTTGTCACTGTGACGCTGGGGTTGGCACTGTGACGCTGGGGTTGGCACTGTGGCACTGGGGTTGGCACTGTGGCGCTGGGGTTGACACTGTGGCGCTGGGGTTGGCACTGTGACGCTGGGGTTGGCACTGTGACGCTGGGGTTGGCACTGTGGCGCTGGGGTTGTCACTGTGGCGCTGGGGTTGGCACTGTGACGCTGGGGTTGGCACTGTGGCGCTGGGGTTGGCACTGTGGCGCTGGGGTTGGCACTGTGGCGCTGGGGTTGGCACTGTGGCGCTGGGGTTGGTACTGTGGCGCTGGGGTTGGCACTGTGGCGCTGGGGTTGTCACTGTGGCGCTGGGGTTGGTACTGTGGCACTGGGGTTGGTACTGTGGCGCTGGGGTTGGCACTGTGGCGCTGTGGCGCTGGGTTGGCACTGTGTGACCTCCTCCCCACTCCCCAAAATATATGACGTCACTTATTTTAGGCCATTGTTGTCGTCATAGGTCATCACAGATAGTCACATAAATTCAGATCCACCAACATTTTTTTAAAGTCACAGCCCCACCCCTAATGTAACCATCCTAATTTTAACTTGGGAATTTGAAATGGTCTCAACTTCATAAATACAAGTCCTCCCCACCCCCACCTTTTCTACAGCTCCAAGCATAGAATTTTATCACAATTGTCAGACTTTTCTAAATGCAAGCAACCCCCCCCCCCCCCCCCACCCCCACCCATCCCCTTATGAGCCTTATATTTTTACTGCAAACTTTTAACTGATTATTCAGCATACAAAAAAGTGTTGTCCTAAGGTCAGCCTTGAGTTATCCAGACACCATCCATCTAACCGTTGAGAGTTACAAGTCAGCCAGTTATCCAGACACCATCCATCTAACTGTTGAGTTACAGACATCCATGCGATGGATGACTGTCGGTGACTCATTGGGGAAATGTCCGAGCATGACCCTCGCGTGTCACGTGGTCAGACAATCACATTTTGGACATCTCTACACATCTCAACACATCTCCATTCGGACACTGCTGCATTAGCGTCGCACGCTAAATCTGGCCAACGCTAAATTTGGTTAACCCTACGTCTGACGCTAAATCTGGTCAAGGATAAGCCTAAAGCTAATTTTGGATAAAGATAAGTCTAACGCTAATTCTGGATAAAGCTAAGCCTAACGCTAATTCTGGATAAAGCTAAGCCTAACGCTAATTCTGGATAAAGATAAGTCTAACGCTAATTCTGGATAAAGATAAGTCTAACGCTAATTCTGGATAAAGATAAGCCTAACGCTAATTCTGGATAAAGATAAGTCTAACGCTAAAGATAAGTCTAACGCTAATTCTGGATAAAGATAAGTCTAACGCTAATTCTGGATAAAGATAAGCCTAACGCTAATTCTGGATAAAGATAAGTCTAACGCTAATTCTGGTCAGCGCTAACCCTGGTTAACGGGATTTTTTGGTTAACGCTAACTATTTAACGCTAAGTCTTTGTAACGCTACGCGTGTTCAAAGTATCCTTTATTCGAGGAGTCAGCACCCATCACTGACTCCCTGACTCCAGTGTTTAATACAGTATAGTCACGTCAGGCACGATCGACCCAGGCAGCAGAATTAGATTCATTAGTCATTACCTTTTTTTTTACGGCGAAATGTTTCTGTATGACGTCAGCTCATAATGACGTACAGATGCTACGTCGTAAAAACCAGTGATGCGTGGCTCGCCTTCAAGTGAGTGAATCAGAAATGTGTGGAGTGGAGGAAATTAGCGTGAGTGATCACGTCACGTGATTGAGTTGGCAAGAAAAAAAAAAATTCATAAAAAACGTTTTAATAACAAGCTTTTATGTAATAATGCACTAAAAAGTAGAAAATAAATTATAGACTACTATTTAAATAACTATAAAGAAAAGCGTGGGTCACTTTAGTATCTATTGGATACCTTTACTAATGTTAAGGAAGACACCCACGCTTTTCTTTATAGTTATTTAAATAGTAGTCTATAATTTATTTTCTACTTTTTAGTGCATTATTACATAAAAGCTTGTTATTAAAACGTTTTTTATGAATTTTTTTTCAGTACTTTACATGTTTTATTTACAATAGAGTTACATGACTAAAAACCATTGCGCGCCTACTGAACATCACGTTCAGTAGGCGCGCAATGGTTTTTGAACGCAGCCATTGAAGCTATTGAAGGTGATGACGCGTGTGGTGTGGTTGGCTAGACATGCCTACTAATTCGGTCCAAATTTTAATTAATTAATAAAAAATTAATTAGGCATCCAATTAAGTCAAATTTAGTTTCAGATTGCATTGTCTTCATGTCTTGACCCACGTGCCAACTGTGAATCGTATCGGTCAAGTAGAACTGTCCGAATTTTCACTCCTGCGTTTCCGTCTAGACAGACAGACAGAGGAAGTGAGTTAAATAAAAGCTTGTAACAACGTGACACCGAGTTCATACCTGGGGCAAAGCGAAGGTCACGCGTGATTAACCTCGCTCCGACACTTGATCGTGGTGAGTACCTGTTATTTACCTGTTCATTAACGCACGTGAGCGCTGGTAGATGTTGTAGAAATGCACGGTAAGCTGTGCACGTGAGAAGATGAATGTGTAACAGCATTACCTGTTAACTTTTAGCTTTACCTGCGTCTATCATCACATATTTACAAGCTAAATATATCTCTCCTTTTTCAACTCTCCATAACGTATTTTTCTCAATCAATCTGTTTTTTTTTTCAAAATGTACTATTAAATAATTAGCATTTTAATTTAAACCGGAAGTTAGCACGATGAGACGTGAGGGGGGGGGGGGGGGGAAGAAAGATTCACGTCAGACCGGAAATGGCAGAACACATACCAGACGATAATGGCGGACCAGCGACGCGTTCAAGGGGAGACGACTACAGGGAAAAGAGTAGAATTTGTTGATCAAAGACCAATAACTGATTTGTGTTCTTTGGGTTATTCCCCTTTGTTTGGGAAACCGCCGCTGTTTGGACATGTGAGCAGGGGCGATTACTCGGGGATACAATAAGAATGTCATGCAAACACAGGGCCTAAACTTTAATAAAACAAGTTCATAAGAAGTTTAAAAAAAAACCGACTTAATAATTATCTTATAAATGCACATGAGTCTAGAAGATAACCATTAATTTCCTAAAGTTATTACATTAAAAATAAGTATTTGTCAAAAAATTCTTTATATATATATATATATATATATATATATATATATATATATATATATATATATATATATATATATATATATATATATATATATATATATATATATATGCATATCGCGAAACAATATTCTGTTCTGGAACTTTGACCTGGAAGAGATCTAGAGTGATCCGGCCTTTGCCCCCTCACCTCCCCCAGCCCGCCCCCCCCCCCCCCTCCACTGTTAAAAAAAAGCACTAAGTGGCCGTCCAATACCACATTAACTCACACTAGAGTCAGTCAAAACACAACTCATGTCGTGCTATAAATAGCGCCAACGTGTTGCTAAACACGGGAGCAGCGCCGGGAGTGGGAGTGTAAAGGTCAACAAGCAGAGAGTGAGTAGTGGTCTGTTGACGTAATGGGGCTCCAGTTATCTGCCCGTGGTCACACTTGACTGGCTTCGTATGACGATGCTGAGAATAGTGGGGGAGGGGGGGGGGCGGTGACAACCAGTTGGTTGACATCAGAGTTCTGCAGTGAATGGTGGTTGGTGACAACCTGTCTCAAAGTCAAGCACCGACCTTCAAACCCTTGTGGAGGAAACTGGGCTCAGGGTCTCGTGCCCGCAACAACAGGGGGGTCAACCCAAAACCATCGAGTTCCAGAAATCTCGACTCAGCTCAAAACAAATACCCAGCATGACTTGGTGAAAAGACAGGAGCAGCTGCTTATCAGGTCTACATCAATGAGCCTTTTATAAACATTGAGGCCTTGGCCCCCTAGTCCAGCCCTTAACCTAGCCTGCTCTCAATCTTAACTAAAATGTAAAGATGTGGACAAGACTAATCTACAATGAACAAAATTTTATTTAATAAAATAATTAGAAAAGTTCATTGAAATATTATATCTGCAAAGTGTTTATTTAAGTATAACAAAATATCTAATTGTAATTAAGACAGACGGTCATGACTCATAATGAGCTATTGTATTTGTATCTACATTATATTACCAAGGAAATGTCCTGCACGTTTATACCCATACAGCAATCTTAGAATGAACTGCCCCGCCGTGTTCACCCACTATTTTATTAAATCCAATCTTTACACCAGCCATCGTCTGCTAGCTCACTTCCTACATGTGAGGTGAAAACAATTCCCGCCAATAATTTACATTCTATCACACACTCCCCTCTTGGTCAGACGGTCTCAGATCGCAGAACTGACGACTAAAAATGTTTTTCTTTCATTTCCTGAGCATCAGACAAGGTAGGTAACTCATTGATTAATGGCCTCCCCTTGTGAGTTGTCTTCCCTTGAATGTTAGCCCGCGGGTACAACAATGACATTTCGTACATACTCCCCCACCTACGGCTGGGCTAAAACTGCGACGTTTTTATTTTGTAATTTAGGGGACATAACCACCTCGCTCTTCACGTGACATGCACCTGTCAAGGTGACACGTCACTGCTGGAGTCAAGATGTCACACGTCACGTGACAGCAAGAGTCGAGATGTCACATGATTTTTAGAATCGAGATGTCACATGCCACGTGATTACATGAGTCTATATTTCACATGTTTATAATTGCTATTTCGAGTTACATTGCGTGAAAATGTCATATCGCATCTCATATTTTAAGTGTCAAAATGTCACCTTGTGACATGTCATAGGCCATATCGTCATGATCATCTCACGAAGACTTAAGTCATTTGATTGTTGTTTTTCTTTGGAGATTTTTTAAAAATACAAATGTCTAACTTACCCGTGTTAGCCAACTCAAGTAAACAAACCCACGTTAAATCTGATTAAATCAGGAAAACTCACACCATGACTAAAATACATGAGCAATGACTGTGATGATGCTACATATGTCAGATGACACACACACTAGATGTCACGTGTCATATTAACCAGGTCAATTTGTGAATGTTAGATTGAAAAAGTTGATCAAAACGCACACCTTGCATAAGTTAGATCCTTGCAGCAGATTACACTATCAACAAAAACATAGTGCACATAGTTTGTCAATAGCAGGGCTAGTGATTTCCTTGAAAGCTTGGCAATGTATTCGATAGATCAGTATGTTCAGCATTCCCTCTTGTGAGCAAAAGCTTATGTGCAACGTGCATATTATGTAGGTGGT